GTTCCTAGACTCCCTGCATGATCAGGGTTTCCTATGATGTGCCCGTGGCGACGGACAAGACGTTGCCCTTCCAGAGTATCCGCCAGATCTTGATCCGACCCATTTGGGCACGTTCGCACCCTCGCTTGTCGATCTTACACATTAGCCCTCACTCCACCACCGTACTTTGTATACAGTATCCCTAGATCGTCGCAATCGCCACAACGTCTCTATCATTGGACTCCCTACGAATACCAATATACCTTCGCCAACACTTTCGGCCAGACGAGTGAGCCTGTGACGTGCGGTCATGCTAAACTGCCACGTCTCGGTGTGAGAACGGCGAGTGAGTTTGTGACGGGCGGTCATGCTGAAATGTCCTATTTCGGGGCGATGGATTCATTGATGCGCCGCAATGTCCAGGAACCCTAAGCATGATGCGTCCACACCGAGACTGGATGGCAGTGTCCCATGCGCGCTGCTCTTCCTGGGCTTTGCATTCAGCCAATGTCTGAGGAAAAGTGCAAAGAGTGAGGAGGATGCGCATTGTCGGCGGGGCATCAGATAGAAGCGGACACAACTCACACTGTTCCCTTAGCGCTCGTTTCCTCTGCCTCAGAAGTAATTGCTCTATGGCGCCTCTATCGGGTACGCTTGGTGTCTTGAGCTCATCCTTGTCCAAAGCACTTAGCAAGTCGAAGAAAGCATCGTTCGCAGTGATGGCTTGTTCGGGCGGTCTAGCTGAGATCTCTGCACCAGCACCAGCCATCTCAACATCTTGCGTCTTCTCGGCGATCGCCTCGGAGCCGTCTAGCGGTGCTCCATCCTCACCCTTGGCCCTCTTTCCACCCTTTTCGCCCGAGGCGGAAGGCCTGCCCGCTGTGCTCCTTTTGCCTCGCGCGCTCGCCGCCCCTTCGGTAGACGTGCTCTCCTCGGCCAGCGTGGCGGGTGAGGCTTGCAGTCCGCCCGCACTGATAATGTCTTTCCACCTCTTAGGTCTCTGGCTTGGCAGACCAGGAATAGCGCTCACTCCGTCGTTCGGCATCTCCTCGTCCAAAGTTTCCAGCAAGTCGGCCCATCCTTCCCTCCACCTCGCCTCTTCAGCCTTTCTTTCCTCTTCCAGCAGATTTGAGCCACCAGCACTTGGGTAGTCTTCTTCGTCGTCATCGCCGTAATACGAACCAGGCTGATTCAGGAAGCGTCGATACCGAGACACGCGATAAGACTCAGCTTCATCCTCTGCTGCTTGCGTGCGAGAGAGGAGCTCCTTGACTCCTGGCAGATCTTTGGCTCGACCGAAGTACCTGCGAAGAAACAGTGATTCAGTCCCAAAGGAGCGGTGTACATGCGGAGCTTCAGAATCCTTACACAGATCCGCAACTCACTTGTAACCTCGCGTGCCTGGCACCTCCTTGCCGGAATCGTCAAGCATCTTCGGAACTCCCCGTCTGTAGTTAGCTCCACCCAGGTTGACAATTTGGCTCTCCCAATGACCCTTCTCTCTGATCAGCTTGTTGATCTCATCGTTCAGATCTCGAACCTCGTAGTCTGTCAGACCGACTGGGAGCATTAACAGCAAGGTAGAGAGCGGCATGTCTTGGTGTGCATCAGCCATCATGGAGTCCTCTCTGAGCATACGTGGCCCCACTTTGGACGTCATTCACTCACAATCTTGAATCTTGCTGACTTTTCTACTGATCTCCCTCAACACCTCGCTCCTCCACTTCTCGCACTCTTTCAGAGTCTTGACCGAACTAGCCAATCTGGGTCTCCTATCTCCCGTTCCCGGTCCTCTACCAGTGGCTCCAGACCCCAGACCCAACTCGATAGCTTGCGCTTCTCGGAAACGATGGAGCATCGACTGGGCTTTCTCTTTGTTGCGCGCCATCTTGACTCGGTATGTCTTCAGAGGGTGAGGGTGCTGCGAAGAGTTCGAGGCTGGAGACGGGTAAAATCTTCAGGCTCGTTCCTGATGCGGAGCTCGGTGCTCTGGGATACGAGCAGTGAGGTCACAACGTAATGCTCAGGACAACAGCGTGTGTGCTGTCAGCGCTGATGGTGCTGAACTGATTTGGATGGTTGGGTTCTGAAGGCTATTTGGGTGTCTGGACAGTTGAAGGGCGCATTCAAGTGAAAGGTGACCGACTGAATTGCTCATTCACGTTTGTAATGTCCGACTTGACTTCAAGTCCTTGAACGTCACATTCAAGCTTCAAATGCTGATTTGGAGTCAAGAGTAGCTAGACTTCATCGGAGCGGGCGGTCGCGCCCGCCGCGCGCGCGGACCCACGTGTTTCTGGCGCGCGGCGGTGCCTAAATCTTCTCGCAGGCCCCCATATACG